ACATTGTCTATATATATATATATATATATATTCAACTTGGTCCTTGGTACGTTTAGAAGCCAAGGAAACAGAGAACAATTGCCGCATGCACACTCATACGTTGCACATACCGAAACTATCTTAAGAAGCTAGGTGAAAAGTTTGGAAAGCAATCACTATTTGTTTTACCATGCGCTCGGCAATTGGTAGGAGATGTGCCCCTTTCGGTGAGTGGAACAACTGTTGCAAAAGTTACCGAACTTTGATTTATTTTCTATGAGCTGCTATACAATAGAGGAAAAACTATTTTATAATTCAAATTATTTTATAATTCAGACTATTTTAAATTGTACAATAGTGAATCTTAAATGAGAAATGGAATTTTTTGATATTAGATTCTTCCCCCTATTTAAGGTTCTTTATTTTTCAATCTAAAATAATTCATATTGCAAAATAACAGACCTTATAATGAAAGCATATTTAACCAAATTCCACTAATAAAAAACTTTTGGTCATGTGGTAAGGGATTCTAATTTTGTATGTTATATGTTTTATATTTAAATTTTAAGATGAGAAAATAAAGGGAAGAAGAGTATTTAAATTTTTTTTGAATAATTTATAATCATACCTACAATATATACTAAGAGGAATGGAGAAGGAGATCTCTGGAGAGTTGAACATTCAATTCAGGATAGTGTTCTCATTAACAATCAAGTGGCAAACCACTTGACCTGAACATGAGGAATAAGAGTATTTAAATTTTGAAATGAATGAAGGGAGAGAAATTATTTTTCTAAAGAGAAAATCTCTCTCATATTACATGGGTGATGCCGCGTTAATTATTTGTAATAGTAAACATCAAATAACTAGAGCAAGTATGCAACGATTGTCGTTTATTGTGTGGCAGGCTAGCTTGGGCTACGTCAAAATGGTAGGAGCGTAACGTTGTATAGGCTAATATGGCAATCGAAGATTTTTATTTTCTATCTTTCTTTTTTCTTTTTTCATGTAAGTTAATAAAGATAAAGGGCATCTATATAAACACTTTATAATCTTAGAAACCCTAAAACTAGAAATTGTCTTTCTCTACGTTTAAGATCTTCGTCCTCTCCTAATTTCCTTCAGTACTCAATACTCAAAGTAGGGTGTTTATGGAAAAAGTCAGCAAGGAGGTAGACGTAGATGGAGCATTCCTTTTCATAGAGCTAGCGAAAGAAAAACTTTTGCGATGACTGAGAGGAAGTGAAGTAGGAAATCGTTTGTGATCTAAGGGATTGACGGGTTTTAGAGAAAAAATTTGAGAGATGAAAGATATATAAGATATTAGATTGAGGGTCTAATCCTAAACTGGAATTTGAGCAACGTTTGTTGTCTACTATTCTTTAGGATTTTTGTGTTGGACTTTTGATCGGAGCGGAAGAAAGATGAGAGGATTTTGATCAAAGGGAAAGAAAGATAAAAAGATGATGAAGGTAAATAAGTAATTTTATTGTAATTTTATTTAATTATTAAATAAATTTAATTTTGGTGTAATGGTAATTATGTAATTAACCTAATTTTAAGTCAAAAATAGACCTATAATTTTGTTTTCGTCAACATTTTTAACCAAACATATTTTTCATGTCATTTAGGTAAAGAATTCTCTCAATTAGCATGTCACATAAGCAAAATGTTTTCCAAACAACCAAAATGTTTAAAGGACAAGATAAAGTCAAAAAATGAAAGTTGAAAGGACCAAACCATAAGTTTAACCTACATACAAAAATGAAACATTTTACATTTTAAACTTGTCCAATTACCATACCCGGACTTCACCCTCCATTATCCAAAGTTCCAAACTTCATGTAGACGCTGTATAGGGTTTCCCTCCTTCCC